TCAACTTAGGGGTCAAAACCTTTTGGTTGGTGCCAATTTTGCTTCTGCTGGCATTGGAATCCTCAATGACACTGGAATTCAGTTTGTAAGTTCAATATTTTGACTCTAAACTTCATTGATTTTGACGATTAGTGTCACTATTAGCATAACAACAAAGACGTTTTTGACCAATAATTCAAAACAGTCTGTAAAGGACTATTAGATTTCAACGATTGATTTCTGTAACATTTCAAAACTCACTGTTAGCAGATATTGTCCTCTTTAGATTTTCCGTTTCGAGTTTTTCTTCAAAGTTTTTAAAACGTGTCTGCTAGGGAGAGTCATTACTAATAGATATTGTCTTTTTTGGGTTTTCACTTTCAAGCTTCCCGTCAAGGTTTTTAAAACGTGTCTGTTATAGGGAAAGTCACTGCGCAGATATTGTCTAAAATGTGTATGTTAGAGAGAGTTTTCACACCCTTATAAAAAATGCTCTGTTCTCCTTTCTAACCGATGTGAGATCTCACAATCCATCACTCTTCGGGGTTCAGGGTTCTCTCTGGCATTCGTTCCTTTCTCCAATAGATGTGGAACCCCCCAATCCACCCCCTTTGGGGTTTAGCCTCGTCGCTAACAAATCGTCCGGTGTCTAGCTTTGATACCATTTGTATCTGCCCAAGCCCACCACTAGCGGATATTGTCCTCTTGAGACTTTCTCTCAAGGTTTTCAAAATGGGTGGAAATATTTTTACACCCTTATAAACAATATTTCATTCTCCTCCTCAACCGACGTGGAATCTCACAATTTTTTAGCCTAAACTTTGTTGATTTCAACGATTAGTGTCACGATTAACCTAACAACGAAGACATTTTGTGAGATATAACAAAGCAACCGACGTTCAAAGCGGTCGGTAAACGACCAAAAGAACCTCGAGATTGATGTCGTGTTTGTTTGTGCAGTTGAACATAATAAGAATCACGCAACAATTGGAGTATTTCAGGCAATACCAAGCAAGAGTGAGCGCACTAATAGGGGAAGAGGAAGCAAGGAGGCTTGTTAATGGCGCATTGATTCTCATAACATTGGGAGGGAATGACTTTGTAAACAACTATTATTTGGTGCCAATGTCAGCTCGTTCACGCCAGTTTCCTCTTCCTGATTATGTTGTCTATATCATCTCTGAGTATCGTAAAATCTTAGCGGTAAAACCTCTAACTTCTCTCTCTTATTTATGAATTTTAACTAATAAAGTTTCAAACTTTCCATAAAATAATGAAATTTTAACCAAAAAAATTAATGGGTAAGTTTGGTGATAGCATTAATACTCCAAGTTATGAAGAACAGATGCAAATTGTACGACTTGCTTGGTTGGTGTCTCCAGTTAATACTCCAAGTTGTTTTTATGGCTTTTCCATTAATGTCTTTACCTGATTTGTGGACATCAAATTATGGACAACCCTCAACTCATAAATGCTTTTAAAGTTTTGTCAAGAAAAGAACCAATGGTTTGGTTGAACGATTTTTGTCCGGTGGAGATTTGAAACATTGTGAGATCCCACATCAGGTGGAGAGAGAAATAAAACATTCATTTTAAGGGTGTGGAAATGAGAACCGTGAGCCCCCAAGGGTGTGCATTGTAGGACCTCACATCAGTTGGGGAGGGGAACGAAATATTCCTTATAAGGGTCTGGAAGCAAGAACTCTGAGCCTGTAAGGGGGTGAATTATGAGATGTCACATCGGTTGAAGAGGGGAACGAAACATTTCTTATAAGGGTGTGAAAACGAGAACCCTGAGCCCCAAAAGGGTGGATTGCGAGATCTCATATTGGTTGGAGAGGGAAATGAAACATTCTTTATTAGAATGTTGAAACGAGAATCCTGAGCACCAAGGGTGTGAATTGTGAGATCTCACATTAGTTGAAGAGAGGAACAAAATATTTCTTATAATAGTGTGGACACTTCTCCTTAGTACACGAGTTTTTAAAACCGTAAGATTGAAGATACCTAATGGGCCAAAACAGACTATGTCTGTTAGCGGTGAGGTTGGGCGGTTACAGAATCTTTAATCTTTTGGTCCATTTCTTTTTTCCTCTTCTCGTAGACTTTTCTACCCATATGAGAATAATCAATGTTGATAGGTTTTTTAACACTGAAAATTCAAATTTTCGTTCGTATTGAAAATAAATTGAACTTTTTTTTTCTCGCATGTAGGATGCGAGATTGAGACTTTAGGATAGATATACAATGTCTTAGCCAGTTGTCCTAGGGTTAATTATATAGTTGACTAGTCTTTGTTGCTGACATAGATACATTCTTTAAGCCATTTATGTTACAAGCTAGTCGTCTAGCTAGCTAGACACACTTAGGATGAATAATTCTATTTCTTAAATTTAGATGCTTAAATATGAAATTTGAAAACTTTAAATTAAAATAGAATGTTTTAATGTTTATACACTAAACGGGTTTAGATCGTTGAACTGTTATAATCATGTTTAATAGATCTTGACTTGAAAAAACGCATAACGGGTCTCTATGTTGTGTCTAATCGTTTTTTAACCCATAAAAAGTATTTGAGAGTTAGAAATCTATCGTACACTCTTTAAAATTCAAGAACATGGTCATTAAAACTCATATTGCATTCTTCATCTCGACCTCAACAGTGAGATTCTAGATCAGTTGGAGAGAGAAACAAAACATTCTTGATAAGAGTGTGTAAACCTCTCTCTAACAGACGAGTTTTAAAAACTCGAACAGTGAGCTTGAGTTTGAGCTGTTACATCAACTCTGATCTAATGGTTTTGAGAATGCAGAGGCTATACGAGTTGGGAGCCAGGAGGGTGTTGGTGACGGGAACAGGGCCACTAGGGTGCGTGCCGGCGGAGTTGGCTATGAGGAGCAGAAATGGTGAGTGCTCAGTGGAGCTGCAACGAGCAGCAGGCCTGTTCAATCCACAGCTGGTTCAAATTATCAACTCACTCAACGCTGAAATTGGGTCAGAGGTCTTTATTGCTGTCAATACTCAAATGATGCACATGGATTTTGTCTCTAACCCTCAAGCCTATGGTATACCAAATCTCTCCCTCTCTTGTTTTTCGTTTTAGTTTATGAACTTTCGTTAGTGTGTGTTTATAACCTAGCACATGAATCGAATATATTGACTTTGGTAGAATTAGGTTCTAAATGCGAGATATCAGATAGAATAACGGTCAATAAATCAAACTCTATTGGTGAACTGAGCTTTTGTTGTGTTTCATATAGAATCTATGTCCTAGGTGTATCAAAAAACATGATTTTCGTAAGTGTAGATAATAAAATAGAGTGAAAGGGTCCACCTCGAAAACAAGGATACTAACTAAGAGCTGAGTCCTCTACGAATCTCAAAAGATAGTTGCCCATCATATGACTCACCAACTTCACTTGCCTCAATGGGAGGCTCGCTCCATGCAAGTTCTAATCACTTATTTAAGTGCCCAAGCCCACCGCTAGTAGATATTATTCTCTTTCGGCTTGCTTGAATCTATTAGGGAGAGGTTTCCACACCTTTATAGAGGGTGTTTCGTTCTCCTCTGCAACCGATATGGGATCTCACAATCCACCTCCCTTTAGGATCTAGCGTTCTCGCTGACACTCGTTCACTTCTTCAATCAATGTGGGATCCCTAAATTCACCCCCTTTCGGGATCCACGTTCTTGCTGACACACTGTCTCGTGTCCACCCACCTTCGGGGCTCAGCCTCCTCGTTGACACATCACCTAATATCAGACTCTGATACCATTTGTAACCGCCCAAACCCACTGTAGCAGATATTGTCTTCTTTGGACTTTTCTTTTCGGGCTTTCTCTCAAAGTTTTTAAAACGTGTTTGCTAGGGAGAGGTTTCCACACCTTTATAAAGGGTGTCTCGTTCTCTTCCCCAACCGATATGAGCTAAATTTGAGCTAAAAAGTCATTAAAAAAAATCATTCACGGCTCAAACTTGCAATTTGAGTAAATTTCATAATTTCTTGAACGGCGCTCGAGACTAGAATATCATTTTCGTAACCCATAATTTTTTTCCGATGATAGGGTTTGTAACTTCAAAGGTGGCTTGCTGTGGGCAAGGGCCATATAATGGGATAGGACTATGCACTCCAGCCTCCAACTTGTGCCCTAACAGAGACCTCTACGCATTTTGGGATCCATTCCATCCATCAGAGAGAGCCAATAGACTCATTGTGCAACAAATCCTGACAGGCACTCAGGAGTATATGCACCCAATGAACCTCAGCACCATTTTGGCCATGGACTCAAGGACCTGATGCCTCCAGTTTCCCTACTGTTTGGATGTTGCCACATGCCTGTTCTTATCCAAAATTATATATACCTTTATTGGAGTGGAGCTGTCCATGATTTGATTTATCATATTGGGTATTTTTTTTTCTAAGTGTTGAGTTGAAATTTTCCTTTTGTTCTTTGTGTTGATGTGATGTGGGTGAGCTTAGTTAGTTGATTGTTTAGTGGGAAAGATTATTATTATTGATTTATGACATTTTCTTGGTTAACCGTCGAAGTTAGCTATGGTTCGAGATTACAATTTGAAAGCTGAATTCAGTATGACAAAAAATTACTATGTCTAAGATTGTTTTCAAAGCACCTGAATCTTTCATTTCAAACTCGTTACTCAACTTCCTTACTTAACTGCCACTTGAGTTCATAGATTTTAGGAGAATCGTTAGACACGAGAATCATATCATCTACGTACCTTACAGAATTCCAATGAACGTAAGCATTATATGAGTTCTTAAGAAACTTTGGTTTAAAATAAAGGTATCGGACCACAACACATATCCTCCTTTTGTTTTGGCTTGTTGAATGTTTGATGGAACGTTGTTACAACTTGAGCCATGCAACAATGAGATCCCTCATAATACACTCACTTGGAGACTTCTTACTTTGGTTGTTCGGAGAGTCTGAAGTCAAAGGTGAGAAGGTGGTTCATCAAAACTAGGGTTCTAACCATAGTTTCTTATACCTGATATGATGTCGATAGCCGGATTTAAACCTGCACAGGCAAAGTCCAACAGATTTTGAGTCTGTCTCCTTAACCACTCGGACATATAGACACTTATAAAATGATGACATGATTTGATTAAACGATATACGGCCAATAAAATTCAATTTATTAAATATATGACCCATAGGCCCTAAACTATTAATATTTTTTTTAGCCATTTCTAATAAGAATCTAAATAGTAAATCAATATAAGCGAAGGGTTCGAACGGGCAAAACCCAATAGATTTCAAGTATGTCTCCTTAACCACCGAAACATATCGACATTGATATTCGTTAATTTTAGATAAAGGTTAGATTGAGTCTAAAAAATGTCGTAACTCTCGACCCAACCTATAAACACCACAATAAAATACCATTGACTAAAATGAATACATTAAAATACTAATTTTACTAGAAGAAGATAGTGCGGAAAGCGTTAAAGACTTAAAAATTCATAACGTTGATCAATGATTGCGTTAAAGCCCGAAAAATATTAATTAATGAAATTCATAGGAAAAGTATTTAATTATAATATCTTAAAATTTAAATACTTTTCCACCGCCAAGTACAAATGTTTAGACTAAACATTCAAAACGAGATAATAAAGTCAACTGTGACGTTTAAGTAAATGAGAAATATATAAATGAACTGAGATTAGACATTGATCCTGAAGGTATGAAATTATGGTTAAGAAAGGTTCAGGAAAATTCAAATTTCTTATATCGGGGGAGCACAAACATCCTAAAAAGGCATTGTAACAGCCTAAGTTCACCGTTAGCAAATATTATCTTCTTTGAGCTTTCTCTTTCGAGCTTCCTTTCAAGGTTTTTAAAACGCGTAGGCTAAAAAGAGGTTTCCACACTCTTATAAAGAATGTTTCGTTCTCTTCTCCAACCGATGTGGGATCTCACATAAGTAGTTCAAGACAAATATGTAACTCGATCATATTGAATACTGAAACTATCAAAAGTCAAATTCGAATTCTAAATCTCGATAGGAATCCCGAACATGTAACATTGTAGTATAGAAACGAGAATTAAAATAATAAAAGAAAATGAAAATTGAAGACGCGGGTTACATGGTGCATTACAAGCTGGTTGAAGAAGTTTGCATGCAAATCCATTAGTTTCCACTTCCAGCTGCGTCTCACCACAACGGTCGGTGTCTTTTTTTCTTTCCACTATTACCCTTTTCAGATTTGAAATATATATATATATATATATATATTTGGACCCGAACAAAGACAGGTGTTTTCTCAACATAACATACTATAATAAAGAAGATTGAGGCTCTTTTCGAGAAGAAAACCTCTCCCCGCGTAACGAAAAGTTAGCTTCTAGAGTGCCGACTGGAACCCCAGAGTCTTTATTTGATCTAGGGATGTATATGTCATTCCGAAGTCATCTATTAATATGCTTATAAGTCGTTTAACATTTTGTTTAAAATCTCTTTTTATGTGGCTCCCCCTCAGGTTCGGTTCTTATTAGTTGTAACCTCTTTTTTTTTTTTTTTTAATAACCCGAGCTAGATGACAAAGCTGAGCGGAAAGGGCTTTGCCTGACTTGTTCTCTAGCCTTACACACGGCTCAAGAAAGACAAGAGTAAAGTACTACCTTACTAAGGCGATAGGTAGACAATCTGACCTTATATATATATATCAACCGTCACAATCGCGATTTTTAGACAGCGGATTTGGCGATTGTGCATCACTCACTCTCAGCACTGAGTGAGTCAAGCCTACTTCGAGTCACATTGCCTACGGTTGAGCAACGTGAATATAAACCTCGGGTCTCGATTTCAAGAGAAGATTTTAAAAAACGGGGAGAGAGATTTTGGAAAAAGAGTTTTGAAAGCAAGAGAGAGAGTGGTATTATATAGCATGAAAGCAAAAAAACAACACCAACGTATCAAATAGCATATAACTTTTCTACTTGAAAACAAAAAATATATATATTTCTCGACTTTCCATTTATTAGAGTTTTCTTTTAAATAATGTCTACGAGCGTCGATTATTGAATGCACTTGACCTGATTAGTAGTATTCGTTTCTATTGAATTTTAAACAAATAATCTATAATACGAAAATAATAATAATAATAATAATAATTAATTTATATATTTTTTATTTATGATAATATAACGACTTACCCAATTCAATTGTGCTCGATAGTTTCCTAATAAAATTTTTGGAAGAACGTCCAACAAAAAAATTGCTCTAAACAAACCACGAGAAAGAATAATAATTTTTTAAAAAATATATTTAGTTTTTATAAAATTTTAATTTTAAGTTATTTATTATATATGAAAATAAATATAAATATTAAAGAAAAAGAAAATGGTGATGTGGCAAAAGAAATGATTTTTGGCAGACGTGGCACCCAATAAAATCCAGTGGGGGAGGGAAGTCGACTCCTTCCCTCATTCACCGCAAATTCCGTCCAATTCGTAGTTCTTTCGCCCACTGCCCCTTGCTTTTCCGTTTTCAGAATCACTTCAAGAACCGAATATACCCAATTTCATAACCCCCCATGTGGAAGATTCATCGCAATTTCGAAACGGGGTTCATTCGATCGAACAAATAAGGAAAGATTGAAAGAACCCACCACCGATTTTCTTCGATTTTAGTTTGATTCCTCCTGCATTTGCGGTTCACGCCGGCGGCTATGGCCGACAAGGAGTCTTTGGAACTCCTCAAGAAAGATATCAAAGATTTGCTCCAAAGAATCGTTGATCAAGATGATTTCGAATGCTCAATCGCTGATGAGGCTATCGAGAAATTGAATTCTTTGAAACTCACCAAAATGGCCGCCGCCGCCGCCGCCGCCGCTGCTGCTGCTGCTGCTCCTCCGCTGGAATCCGGTGGGGATAGTGGCCGTACGGCTCTGGTTATGCCGGATGAGTTCCGGTGCCCGATTTCTGGGGAGCTTATGGAAGACCCTGTTCTGTTGAAAACTGGTCAGGTTAGAGGGTTTCTCTTGAAATCTTTTGGGTTCGATTCTGTTTTCTTCGTTTTTCTTGCGATTGATCGGTTTTTTTGGAGTTTTTGTGCATTAAGATTGTGTTTCTATGAAGAATTTGTCTCTGTGGGCTCTGTTTCGCTTGTTTTCTATGATTTCTGTGGCCTCTGATTATGATTCATTGCTCCAATGGCATTGCCCTTTTCCTTTCTTGATGTCTATTATGGTTCATGATTCATTGGCCATATTACTTGGAGGGCGTCGGCTAATTTAGGGAATGATCATGATGAGTTTATAGGTAAGAAATCATCTTCATTGGTACGATACGATGCCTTTTGGGTAAGCCCAAAGCAAAGCCATGAGAGCTTATACTCAAAATGGACAATATCATACTATTGTGGAGAGATGTGATTTCTACCATGGTATCAGAGCCATGTTCTTAATTTAGGCATGTTAATAGAATCCTCGAATGTCGAACAAAGAAGTTGTGAGCCTCGAAGGTGTAGTCAAAAAGTGTCGAACGAAGGGTGTACTTTGTTCGAGAGCTCTAGAGAAAGGAGTCAAGCCTCGATTAAGGGGAGGTTGTTCGAGAGCTCCATAAGCCTCAAGGGAAGCTTATGGTGTACTTTGTTCGAGGGGAGGATCGTTGGGAGTGAGTCTTACATTGGCTAACTTAGGGAATGATCATGGGTTTATAAGTAAGAAATACATCTCCATTGGTACGAGGCTTTTCGGGAAGCCCAAAGTAAAGCCACGAGAGCTTATGCTCTAAGTGGACAATATCATACCATTGTGGAGAGTCGTGATTCCTAATATGGTATTAGAGTAATGCCCTTAACTTAGTCATGTTAATAGAATCCTCAAATGTCGAATAAAGAAGTTGTGAGCCTCGAAGGTGTAGTCAAAAAGTGACTCGAAGTGTTGATTATGCAATTCATTGCTCATATTACTTTCTTGATGTCTATTATGCAGTTCATAAGAAGATTTCTCTGTGGATAGTGTTAGCATGTTTGTGATTGTTCTTATTGTTCTTGAAACATGGTTGTGAATTGCAGACATATGATCGGCCCTTCATCAACAAATGGTTTAATAAAGGACACAATACATGTCCTCGAACCAACGAGGTCCTTCACGACATGACGCTTACTCCGAATCGTAGTCTTCGGTCGATGATTTTGAAATGGTGCATAGATAACAAATTGGAGCTTCCAAAGCTTACTTATGAGGAAACAGTGGCCCATGCCACTGAATCCCATTTGGATGAATTGCTTAACCAGTTGTTGTCTTCATCCCTTTCGGATCAAAAGTTAGCTGCAAAGGAGTTGAGACAGATAGCGAAATGGAACCATGAGTTTCGATCCCTTTTCGCGAAGCTCCCGGATTCGATCGAGAGACTATTGCATCCTATCTCTGTAGACCACGTTAATCTCCATCCTGATCTGCAAGAGGATTTGATTACCACTGTTCTTAATATCTCACTTAGTGGCGATAACAAGAAACGTCTCGTCGAGAACCAGTTGGTCCTCTCGTTGCTGATCCAATCCTTACAATACGGAAGTAGCGAGGCAAAGGCGAATGCAGCTGCAGCTATTTTCTCGCTATCTTTATATCAGGAGAATAAGATCGCCATTGGTAACGCAGGAGCTATCAAACATCTGGTTGGACTTTTAGACGAAGGCCATCCGGTAGTAATGAGAGATGCAGCTTCAGCAATTTTCTCTCTTTGTACCGCAAGCGCGAACAAAGAGAAGGCAGTTTCGAGTGGAGTAGTTGTCTCCGTTCTTCGAAACATCACCGAAGGTGTATTGGTCGACGAGTTGGTTTCAGTACTTGCGCTTCTTTCGAACAATATGAAGGCTATCAGCATAATGTGCAAGCTGAACGCAGTGTCGTGTATGTTGAGAGTGATAAGGGAATCTACGTCCCAAGGCGTGAAAGAAAACTGCATATCGATACTGGACACGATCTCCTCGACTTATCGAAGCAAATTGAAAGAGATTCAGGAGGACGAGAATGCAAATGGTATGATCTCGAAACTTTCCCGAAACGGGAATTCGAGAGCAAAGAGGAAGGCTATGAGCGTACTCGAAAAGCTGCAAAGAGCTGGTTCAATTACTCACACTGCATAATGAAAATAGGTCAGATTCTTTTACTTCAATTAACTGTATAGATATAGATATACAAAAGGTTGCACATATTACAGAAGAAATAGGAAAGTTTTGGTCCAAAACAGAGTGATGAACTACAATTACTTCATTTTTTTTTTTGCTAATAATGAAGGAATATGAATGAATTGCTTATTGCTGATGTTGATGTTGATGTTTTTGGTTCGACCCTAGTGATGAATGAGACGAGACTTACGTGGGTTCGGTTAGTTTTCGAAAACGCCAAGGGTTAAAATGAAAATTGACATTAGAAGGGCATAGCTGAAAACTACACGTACATGAAGAACCAAGAATAGAACGTTTGATGAACTACTAAAATTTTGAAACTAGAAAGGCGTAGCTGAAAATTACACATACTTGAAGAACCAGGACTAGAACGTTTGATGAACTACTAAAATGAAATATCTGAAAGTTGAAGAACTAGGAATAGAACGTTTATGAACTACTAAAATGAAATATTTGAAAGATTTAGGAGCTAAAATGAAATATTTGAAAGTTGAAGGACTGTAATAGAATATGCACATAAAAGTGGTGGGACGGAGCGCTAAAAGAGTGTGCGCACTTTAGATAAACAATTTGTGTGGATCTTCTTCTATTCTTGTCTTCACATGTCGGCACGGCATTGTTTTCTCTCTTTTTTCTTTCTCTCTTGAAATTGAAATGTCGAGATTGTGGGACCTGTAATGCTCCATACTTTATAATATGGATGTGTTTTGACATTTCTTTATAATATGACACATATTCTAGTGCCAATGTGTTTTATGAGCTCATAAATATTAGTTTGTCCGACAAAACCGTTTTTCAGTTTACAACGAAGAATGGTAAATTATGACAGTATTTCAAGAAAGGTTCATGTATGCCTTTTCTAAAAGATCATCCTTTGAAGTATACGTACTCTATTCTTCAAACGTCTCTTCAAAACACTGTAACTTTATAGTGGTTTGGTCAAACTATACGTACTCTATTCCTCAAACGTCTATACAAAATTTGGATAAAAAGTTTATCAGTTTTTTTTACGAATCAGAGCTCAGCCACTACATCAATCAAAGTCTTGTACATGTCTCAAGATAACTTTAATGTATCGAAGTCTTGAAAGCAATTTAAGTCCTCAAAATCTTTTGATCTTAGAAGTTTTCAAAATTTTTCTAGCATCTTTCATTTTCACCAAAAGTTCAATTCTCTCCATGGAAAAAAATAAATAAATAAATATATATATATATATATATATATATATATATATATATATATATATCTTCTATTCATAGCTACATGGGCTTGAGCATAGTTGACTTTAAGCCTCCGCCCAATTATCATCCAATATAGTTCGTTATCTAATCCAATTTAAACAATCTAGTCTATACAATAAAGAGTCATAATGATCATATTTAATCTTTAAATTTTGTTAATTCGTAATAAGTTTCAGATTTAATAATACGTAATAATAATTTGTGATTTTGTCGAAATTTCTTATTTAATAGCTTCCTTTCACAAATGTAATCAATAATTTAAATGATTTTTAAACCTAAAGTTTAAGGGTCTAAATAACCTTTAAACATTTATTCTATGTATTTTAATGATAATTTAGAGAACCCGTGCATCTCTTCCAGTAGAAGGTAGATTCAAACCTACAACATATCAACTAAAGTAATGTTCAAATTCGATAATTTAATCTAATCTTTATTCAATCTATTTTCTTTTTATTTCCTTAAAATCAAAATAAAAAGTTATAAAAATAAAAATAATAAATAACATAGACAGACCAACCATTCCTCAATTGCAAGATGGTACCAAGCACCTTGAAAATAAGCCCTTCATTTTGTTCTGTATAACAAAGTAAATAGAAATTAAAAGGGTTATTAATAAATAATTCATTCTCGAGTATAGTATTATTCAACATCGATACCGAAAAAAGAAATTTCTAAAAGAATCCAGATTTTAATAATGCTTACCCAATCGATGTATTAGTCATCATTAAAAGCTAGATGTTTTTCTATTTTGGATATTTACGTTTCTCTCTAAGTTGTAAAAGATATGGTAAGATGCGCAAGAATGACTATTTGTCTTAAAAATCCATGATGATTATTAACCCGTGAATGCCATAATAAGAATCTCTTTTTTAATGCTAAGACGAAACATAAATCATGGATCCACCAAGTCTGATTCTCATGAGAAGAATAAGAATCTCTTCCTCGATGGATCAACTAAGCCTAATTTCTTCGAGAACAATGAGAATCTCTTTCTCGATGCTAAGACGAAACATAGATCATGGATCAATTAAGCCTAATTCTCTTGAGAACAATAAGAATCTCTTTTTCGATGCTAAGACGAAACATAAATCATGGATCAACTAAACTTAATTCTCTCGAGAACAATAAGAATCTCTTCCTCGATGGATCAACTAAGCCTAATTCTCTCGAAAATAATAAAAATCTCTTTCTCGATCCTAAGACGAAACGTAGATTATGGATCAACTAAGCCTAATTCCCTCAAAGAACTTGCTTAAGAATAAGGAGGAATCTCATGTAACTATCGATAACTACTATAACAGTTGATAAGAGTGTCCGGGAGGTGATAATGATTACTTTTTAAACCACCAATCAAATGGGTATTTAACAAATTTACTAATTAACCGAATTGAGGCCGTGTTAGTTAATTCGAGTATAGTTTAATGGAGAAGGAATGTACCCGCTTTGAAGAATGGAGCAGCTCTGGTGGGATTTTGTAGAGATCTTCATCGACAGGTCTGGGTGGTTTAGTAGCATTAGATTTAGGTGGACGACGTGGGATCGACACGTCGTTCTGCTTGAATTTTCGCGCTCCTCCCGTTTCCGTCACGTCGAACACTCTACCTTGTTGCTTCTTTAATGGCGTCTGGTGTTCCTTTATTAATCCCACTTGCGGGTAACGCTTTTCCGTCACTCGTGCCTGCAAATCCCGCCACGTGTACCCTTCGTTATTCAAAATCACAATCACTTCATTCATTTCGCGTTTTCATTCCCTTCACCAACCAAATCTTGTGATTTCAATTCAATAGCCCTAATTGATCTTAGTACTCCCCGTCCCCTGTTTGGTTACCTAGAAAATATCGCTACATTCTCCCGGAAAATGAAAAATACTTCTTAAATTCTATATCAAATTCATTCCTCCGATTTCACTATTCTATTCAATCGAAAATCAGTACTAAAAACACACAGAAACATATAGAGCAGAGCGATTTTAATCAATCAGAAATTTCGATTAATGAATAGATAGTGATAGAGCGATTTCACTATTCTCTTCAATCGATTACAAATTTCGATTAATGAAGAGATAGAGATAGAAACAGAGGTAGAGTGATTTCGCTATTCTATTCAATCGAAAATCAGTACTAAAAACACAAAGAAACATAGAGTGCAGAACGAGCATAATCAATCACAAATTTCAATTAATGAAGAGATAGAGATAGAGAAATTTCACTATTCTATTCAATCGAAAATCAGTTCTAAAAACATAGAGAAACATAGAGAGCAGAGTGATTTTAACCAACCAGAAATTTAGATTAATGAAGAGATAGAGATAGAGATAGAGATAGAGACCTTGCGTGCGGCGGCTGAGAGCGGAGGCTTTTTGCGATCGACGGAGTACAAATCGGAAGAAGGAAGGCAGGGACCGGTTTCGCCGGAAGAGGAACTGTAGTGAATCAAACCAGCCTGACGAGCAGTTTCGAAATACTGAGTAATCGGCAAATCCCTGGCCTTATCCCAGTCGCCAAACGCCGGGATTTGGTGGTGCTGAACGTGGATTTGGCCACTGTTTCTGCACAAATAATCCTTCAAAAAAAAAAAAAAAAAAAAACAAACGTAACTAAAATCAACAAACAGAGATCGCCAGAGAAAAACGAAGAAATGGCGGAAAGTACTTACAGAGGATTCCATACGAAGTACACTAAAAAGCAGCCACCAAACTGATGATGAAGAAGAAGAAGAAGAAGAAGAAAACAACGGATTCTTGACTTTTGGAGCTTCTGATTACACTACAATGGAGGCAGAGAAAAAGGAAGCCGATGAACAAATCAGAGCGAAACAGAAAGCAAAAATGTTCAGAGAAGCTTTTTGGAGGGTTCCTGTTTTCACACACCAATCCCCAACCATTACCATCCTATAAATCCTTCCTCTACAAACATTTTCATTTAATATTTAATTAAAAATAATTCACTAATAAAAATAAATATTCAAAAATTTAGAGATAATCCCGTCAATATATATTTATATAATAATTTTTAAAAATAAAGTATGGACGGTTTTCATTAAAAATTAATTTCTTTTTATTAATTTAATTAAAAAAAATTATTATTTCCCCTTAATTAAAATGACATTATTTGATTTGTGTTTTTTACTTTATCTGTAGTTATAATTATAATTCATTAAAATTCCATTATTTATTTACTATTTTAATTTTTATACTTGGAAAAAAATTTAATGCCTTGAAATTAAGACAGAAAAAAATAAAATTTTAATGGGAAAAATACATTATTTTGATATAAATATACTTCAAAAAAATAAAAAAAATTATGACGAAATGTGGTAATAAAAATGATTAAAAGTATTATGTATAAAAAAACAAAATATGTTATCTGGATTTACTTCATTTAAATATCATGAATTTTTAATAAATAAATAAAATACCAAATCAATCTACCCATCTCGAGTTTGATATAGTAACAAATCATCTACTATTTGATCTGAACGTCGGTATCGATACAAATTTAACTTTATTCTCGCGAATATAGTCAAAAATCACAAACAAAATACTAATTCAGTTTCAATCCTCTTCTAAATCTAGTTTCGGTTTACAAAAATGTCACGTTTTATGTAAAGAATAATAAATAAATAAATAAAAGACGAGACGAGAGACAAAGAATTCTAAAAAAATGATCGTAAACAGTCCGACATAATAATCGAAGGAAATTAGATTAATCTTATTTTATTTATCATATTTTTTTCGTTACACAGTTCTGATAATATCAATAATGTCTTTAAGAAATATCGATAATAGAGATGTCTATGGGACGTGATGGGAAGTGTTCCTTATCTCGATCCTCACCTAAATCAAAATATGAAATAATCTATATAACATAATTTTTAAAAATTCAATTTTTTTTTTTGTACTTTAAAAAAAAATATATATAATAAATTAGTTTTATGTCCGGTATACGTATACATATGCATATTATATATAGAGAGAGAGTCGTGAATATAATTTCCGTCCCCGAACCCATTTAGTAAATAGGGTAAATTGTCTTCCCGCTCCTATTCTTAGTTCCATCTGGAATGAGTCTCTGCAGATTAAACGAACATCTTTTAGTGAGACCTACGTCAAATTATAATGTATTGTGAGTAACTTTTTATGGACATTTCTGTAATAATAATTTGTACTAAAGTGTTCAAGATTCTGGAGCTACCAAAGATCTTAGCCAATTATGATCATTAATGTAACCCTCTTCCTACCCTAATCCACATCGACATAGATATTATTTATTATACAGTAAATATAGACGGTTGATTGGTAGATTAATATATTTAATTGTTACTAGGTCTGACATAATGTATTCAGTTCGTATGCTTAGTCAATTTATGTATGAACCAAGAAAACCACGTTAAGAGGCAGCTTTTCGAGTTCTGAGATACATCAAAGGTACTCATGGGTAAGGACTTTTATTACCATCTGAAAACAACTTAAGATTACAAGCAAAATTTCTGGTTCGGTTGAGTTGAATTTTTTTTTGAACCAACTCGAAATTTCAGGGTGGTGACTCGAACAACCCGAATAAAGTTCATAATTCAACTCAATGTCACCCTCTATTTTCAGCTTGGGTTGGGTTGGATTGGCTTATTGGGTTGTTTTTAAAATTATTTAGAAAATCTTACTTATCTACGGTATAAGTTACATTAATAACTAAGATATGATAAAAACTCAAATAACAAATATTTACCCTCGAGCCTCTGGCTTTGGTTTAAGAAGAAGTTTTAGAAAACGAGGGCAGATAGATTTCGAAAGAGAGTTTTGAAAGCAAGATTTGAGAATGTAAGCAAAAAGGCAACAACAACAACTTACTGCATATAACTATCGGGTAGGAAGAAGTTGACAACTAGTTATATCCCCTATAGTACATTTTGGGGCATTTTAGCCCTTGCAGGTGTAGACACGATTTTGGTTAACAGTCATACACAATCATACTGACCCAATATGGAATGGTAAAGGCCTATCTAGGATGAAAACATGTAAAAGGGGTTTGGAACGGACATGCAACCATGGACAACACGTCCTGAACAAGCAAGACTGGGATATCTATCATGCGGCCATTGACAACACGTCTTGGACATGCATGACCGTGACATCCTCCCCCACTCAATTGGTTGATATCCCTGTCAACAGACCCGAACAAGCAAGACTAGGACATCTGTCATATGACTATAAGCAACATGCTTTGGACAAGCATGATCGTGACATCCTCCCCCACTCAATTGGTTGACGTCTCTATCAACCGACTCGTCACAATGCATTACTAACTCAGTTAGAAACGTCAAATATGGTTAATCTTCATAATATTCTCAAAAGTAAGGTAGGGTAGAGTTGAGTTGTACCCAATTGTCGGGGTGGTTTAACAAAATATCAGCCCGCAAACCAATTCGAATTTTTTTGTTTTCAAAAAATTCAACCCAACCCAGATCGAAAAAAATCTAACCCAACCTAATTTTTATGATTTGGGTTAGGTAGTCCGAGGTGGTCGAATTCTCAAGTCATTTAAACACCGCTATTTCCAACTTTGCCCTCATAAGAAGATTGATAAAAAAAAGGGGACAAGAATTTAGTGTGTGGACAAAAGAAGGGTACCCTAACACATCAAACACTTAGGGAAATAAAATTATATAAAATAATATATATTTTTAAAAATAAAAAAAAAAGCATTAATTGATTTACCTTTCTGGTAGAGACAGTTGACGACCCATCTAATCCAAAACAAAAGGTTTTTATTTCCAAAATAATAATAATAATAATAATGAAATAAGGGTGGGGGTGCCCCAGAATTCAAGGGCTGCCCTACCATGCAATTTGGAGTTATTTTATTCTTTGGAAATGTAGGGTATACGGAGGTCTGACCTGCCCCCTCTGCCCTATAACTGTGACTCTCTGTACCATTCATCTAAGGAGTATGTAAATATACGTTTTTTAAATTGGGTAGTTTTATTTCTTGCTCGGGCACCCGAGTGCGTACTAGAGGTGTATGAATAAATCGATACTACATTTGAATGAGAGCGATTTTGAGATGTACGTTCGTTTTCGGTGGATCAATAATGTTTTGCTTGAAACAATTCTGTGATGTCCCACATTGGTTGAGGAGGAGAACAAACCACCATTTACAAGGGTGTGGAAACCTTCCCCTAGCATACACGTTTTAAAGCCTTGAGGGAAAGTCCGAAAGGGAAAGCCCAAAGAGAACAATATGTAGTGTGATTTCGTGTGAATTTTTTTAAGAAACATGTGAGTGAGGATAAAGCATGCTGAAAGAACTCGTGTTGGTTTATGAAATGATCTTACATGTTGGAAGTGAAGAGTAAGTCATGTGATCATATTGTCGGGGATGTAGGGGTGCGAGGATCATCGTGGTTTGATAAACAAATGTCCCATCGTACGTCTTGTATGTTCTTGTCGTTGGTTGAAAAAAATTGTTTTGAAAAAATTTTGAGTATTAAAAATACGGAGTAATCTCTTTCGAATGGGTTCAGACATGCATGCACAAACTACAAGTGTGACACCGAGTAAATGAGAGGTACATGAATGAACTGAAGATCATATCCGAGTGAGAGCAATTCTGAGAGGAGGATGACTAAGAAAGACTTAACAATTAAACGTGTTTTACTTGGAACAATTTTATATTGAGTGACCTTCTCGGTATTTTCATATCATGCATGTGATTGAGAACACACGAAAGAAGAACTCGTGTTGATTTGTGGTGATAGTCTTCACTTTTAGAATCAAATAGTAAGTAACTTGATCAAATCTTACACAAATGAACGATTAGTATCTAATCATTTATAAAATTTTCAAAACAAGTTAGGTTTTTTTTATCGAGATAGAATATCCAAACCACATCCATATATTATAGATTTATCAAATCACTTTTTGAATGTGATATTCTTACATAGGGGTGTACGTTCAACCCGACTACCAGGATCAACCCAACCCGAATTATAAGGGTTGGGTTGGATTACGAGTAGGGTTGAGTTCATTTTTCTGAACCCGAACTGAATCTATTCGATTCAGTTTCGGGTTTGTGTGACAAAACCTTCGGGTTGAACCAAGTCAAATAAAAATATATAAAATATATTAAGAATCCTTTTATATTAATCGGTTTGTCAGAGTGGTACTTTCGCCCGTCTAAAGAGACTCGTGAGGAGGACACCATCTACTAAGGTGGGCTTGAGCCACTACAAAATACGAGGGTTGGTGGGCTAAGTCATTGAGCTAAGCTTTTGGTGGTGGGCCAAGTCAATTGGGTTGGGCTTGGGTTTCTATTATTTTTTATTTTTATTTTATTTTTTAAAAAATTATTTTTATCTGCCAATTGTTTTCAAATGGTTTATAAATAAGGCGAGATAATTAGGAGATAAATAATAATTAATTAAAATAAATTTATTTTATCTTAAAATGAATGAGATAAAATAATTATATTTGATTTATAAATACTAATTTTAATTATGAGTAGAAATTTATATAATTTTATTAAATTTCTTTATTTGAATATAAATAATAGAAGAGAGAGAAAAAAAAACAAAAAAACAAAAAAGGGTGACATCAGCATCAACAATGACGTAAGCTCGTTGTATAGTCAATGGTCAAAGGTTAAAATTTGACTTTTTTATTTTTTATTTATGGTTTTTAGCTTTTGGAGTGTCCCGACATATTTGAGAAGTTTGATGAAATTTGGGACGTTCTAAGTGGTATTTCAAAACTTTGGATTTAGTTATGCTCGTAGTATGCGGGAAAGTATGATATAAGAAGAATGTCATAGAAATATAAATATGAAATGAGTTGGTTTAATGTATGTAAAAGCACGTTAAACTTTATGATGCACGCTTATAAAGGAATGAAATGATGAGGTATGATTTAGCTGAAATCGAGAGCATTTACTATGATACAAAGCATGTTATAAGAAACTTATTAGAAATGTTTGAGCGGGATGACATATGTTGCATGTTTATTATGCATGTTTACTAAACGTGTATGCACTATCCTATGAATTGGAATTCATGATTAGGTATTCATGTTTAGATCGCTATGCTATGTCTCTATTTCATATGTTTATAATGTATGTGGTTATACAGGGACGATTAGAGGTTCACCAAGTAACCTCTAATCGTGAAAATTACTCGATTGTTAGGGGTCTGTGTTTACTAAACTTATGATTGTACCCTAGACTACTGTGAAATTTGCTAGTTAGCTTCCTGTAGTGAGCTTGACACGAGTGGCAAGGGTCCACTGTGGTACCTTCTGAGTTGGTTATGATTATTGTGCATACATGTGAGTTATGCGGTTATATGGGAATGGTAGGGGCTCGCCAACTAGCCCCTAATCATAAATCTGACTCGATTGTCAGGGGTCCGGATAACCATAGAACATCGCAGCTTTCTTTTGGTGAACTTGCCACGAGCGACATGAGTCCACAATTGCACCTTAGAGTTAGTTCAACCTTAGCATATATGAATCAAGTGAGATTAATATCGAGGTCGTGCCTCGAGAACTTAGAGATATAATGATGAGAGAGTAGTAGAAATGACTAACCATGAAACCTAGATAACTTAAAGAATATTCCGAAGGCTCAGAGCCAGGAAAATAGAATGAGTAAACCTAGTGTGTAACTTGAAAAGCGCTTAGACTGGAGAACAAACCCCCCAAATGAATATAAGACACCGAACAAATTAACTAAGATTAATAAAACCTAACAATGAACTATGAACTACCAGTAAGCTGCTTATTGAGGATAGTGGTTGAAGCCAAAGACACACGCGAGCTGTTGGCTATAGTTTGATGTCCGGCACGTGTTTAAGTATTTTAAATTTTACATATTTTTACTTATTTCTATGTCGGAGAGCAATGGTCCGGGGTCTCAGTCCCTCAAAAATGGGTCATTACAAACTGACATTGATTACCCATTCTTTTTTCTTTTACAATGCCCGATGATCACCGATAAATCGCGCTTCTAATGGCCCGTCCTTCAAGTCTCCCATCGATGATCATGGATCAACCCTCCATATTGAATAGCTCAAGCTCGGATGTCTAAGCGCCCATGGTAGCTCCTCTAATCGAGCCCTTTGTTGTCCCTTTCTTCCTTTTTCTCCGCTATCACTAGGAACTTTCCTTTCCATCTCCTTGCAACCGAAGTCAGTCAACTTCCCAGTAGGTGAAACTTTGATTCTTTTTCTTTTTCTTTTTCTTTTTCTTTTTCTTCCTGTCTTCTCAATTTTTGCTATAAATTTGTTGCTCTGCCTTGTGGGTTTTATGATTAACTGAAGATCGAGGCAAATTTCAAGTGTATGTGCCTTATTTTTCGAAGTGTTCTTCTTTTTCTTTGTCGGGTTTTTCTTATATTTGCTTTTGTGTTGTTAGAACTGATTGTTTGAGCTAATTTGATCAATAATCCATTGTGTAGACATGTTGAATTCTGTTCGTATATGTGAATATCTCTGTTTAAGAAGCTTCATTTGTTGCATTAAGCTACCATTAGTAGGGAAAATGTTTAGATATCATTTCAATACGAGTGGTTCAATCAAAGAATCATAAACAGTCATCGTTTGGAAATAGAAAGAGTCTTGGTATTGCCTACTCATGTTACCATTATCCTCACTGGAGATCGATCAGGGCAGCTTTGGCTTGCCTACGGGCTAGGAAATCCGTGAATCTTTCATTTGGTCACTGGCGTGTCACTTCCAGCCCTCTTCTGGTTACTTTAATCGGGGTGTTATAATTTTCTAAAGATATGTTGTTTTGATTCTGCATTTTACTACTACTTGATTCAGAAGTTTCTCATTTTAAAACCATTTTGATCTGTTTTTGGATTAACTCTTTCTTTGACTATCAGATACTCTGATTGTGCATTGAGATCTTGCTTTATGGCCTATTTACCTCCACATAAACGTCATTCCAATGATATGGAAAAGCCTTCTCCCACAGCGGAGTTGCTTGCTCCTCTATTCAATAGAAAATTGGATTTGAGGGCATCTGGACGTAAAGTGGACAGGAGTGGAAGGATAATCTATGCTGATCAGGCTAGACATAAATGGTTTATCATTGGTGATTCTGATGATGATAACCTGTTTCCCTCTTGTGTCCGTCTCGAGCCGATTGCTCTGCGGGCTAATGAGCATAGAATGGGTGAAAAACATCTAGCTTTGGTGTACTCTAATGTGTCTCAAGGTAATTGAACTATGTCTTGAAGCTTCCCTTTGCTTACTCTATGCAATTTGCTCTTTATTTTGATGAAGGATGTTGGTCTTGATTATAGGAAACAAAGAAGAGGAAGAAGTCGTAATCGAACCGTGGGCATCTATTGTAGTAAAGCTACTACCTGACATACTTTCATCGATCGAACACATTAAGAACGAAATTAACCAAGATGAGGAAGTGAAGCTGACATTGGTTGCTAGGATTGGAAAAGTTATCTTTCATGGGTGAGCAAAACTTACCATCCGATTTTTGTTTACTTTTGCATGACTCTGATACCATGAATCACGACTCTTCAAAATGGTATGATATTGTCCACTTTGAGCATAAGCTCTCATGGCTTTGCTTTGGGCTTCCCCAAAAGGTCTCATACCAATGGAGATGTATTCCTTAATCTTCCCCTAGAACAAAGTACACCATCGAACCTCCCCTGAGGCCTATGTATCCCTTGAACAGTCTCCCAATAATCGAGGCTCGACTTCTTTCTCTAGAGTCCTCAAACAAAGTAAACCATTTGTTTGACACTTGAGTCACTTTTGACTACACCCTCGAGACTCACAATTTTTGTTCAACATTTGAGGATTTTATTGACATGCTTAAGTTAAGGGCATGACTCTGATACCATGTTGTTAGACTATGAACGGTATTGGGAAATGTCCCAAATTACCTATAGGTATGTTGGCACTGGTGGAAGAGGTAGAAAATCAATTTAGCATCCTTTTTTAGTAATACAAAGTTCTATCAAATTTCTCTTTTGTCACGAACATACTTGGATAAAATCTTATGTTTAGAAATTTATGGTCATGATTGGAAAGTCATTTGGAGGACATGGACAATGTGATTCGAGACATGTTGTTTTTGTTTAGGCTGTTAATTATATTTGTTATGCAGGACCTCTGAATTTGACAGTAATAAGCTGCCTACTCGAGCGGTGATGGGACAGCTGAAGAGGTCGTTTCGTACAAATGTTTCTGAAACTTACATCGAAAACATTAGAGATAAAGTAATTCCATTGATTGGAGTTAAGTTTGAAGAGGAGAAAGACACATATCACATAAAGGTACTAGTTATGCCTTGCTGATGAGACGAACTGGGATGCTACTTGGTTTTGATTTCGTCTCCATTTGATGTCTCAATTTCTTTTTAGTTATCCGATGCAGAGCATCCACACGTGACGTTAACATGCAAATGTACTGCTTTGCCTGAGTCGAATAAACTCAAACTTTATAAGGTAAACCTTTGTTTCTTTTCTTGGCTGATAAATTGTATGGACTCTATTGATATTGATATTATGGCTGATGGTATTATTTCTATGAATAACACTAAAGCCGCTAGCTCTCCCATATTTTTTACTACTCTAAGCTGCAATTTCACAGTTTCTGTGCATATTTTTCGTTTATTTTGTAGGTCGAACTCAACCCAGTTCGACATATGGTTGCGGATATTTCGTGCTTGAAACAAAATGTGGATATGAGGGTAATGACATTCTCCAAGAAGACCGTAGGAAAGCTGACTGTAAGCCCTCTAAATCAAAACATTCAAAAGAGATACATAAAACTTCATATTGGTTTATTGTTCTTTTACTGTTGATGAGTTCTTTTTAACATTCTTCATAATTTCAGTGATGTTTTTGTTCGTTTAAAACTCTTTAGTTTCTGTAATTGGTATGGTAAAATATTATTTTATGAACGGTTAAGATTTTGTGTGAGATCCCACGTTGGTTGGAGAGGGGAACAAAACATTTCTTATAAGGGTGTGGAAACCTCTCTCTAGTTGACGCGTTTTAAAATCGTGAGGCTGATAGTGATACGTAACGGGAAAAAGTGAACAATATGTGCTAGTTGTGGGCTTGGGTTGTTACAAATGGTATTAGAGTCAGACATTGGGCGATATGCCAACGAGGACGCTGGGCCCCCAAGGGAGGTGGATTTTGACATTACACATCGGTTGGAGAGGTGGACGAAGAATTCCTTATAAGGATGTGGAAACCTCTCCCTAGTTGAAGCGTTATAGAACTGTGAGGCTAACGGTGATATGTAACGAGACAAAGTGGACAATATTTACTAGTGGTGGACTTGGGCTGTTACAAATGGTATTAGAGTCAGGCACCGGATGGTGTGTCAATGAGGACGTTCGACTCCTTAGGGAGTGGATTGTGAGATCCCACATCGGTTGGAGAGGGGAACGAAACATTACTTATAAGGGTGCTGATACCTTTTCCCAGTAGACACGTTTTAAAACCGTGAGACCGACGGTGATATGTAACGGACAGAAGTGGATAATATCTGCTAGTGGTGGGCTTGGACTATTACATATGATATTAGAGTTGGGCACTGGGCTGTGTGCCATCGAGGAAGTTGGGCCCTCAAAGGGGGTGGATTGTGAGACCCCACACCGGTTGGAGAGGGAAACGAAACATTCCTTAATAAGGGCGTGGAAACCTCTCCTTAGTAGACATGTTTTAAAACTGTGAGGCTGATGACGTTACGTAAGGGGTCAAAGCGGACAATATCTGAAGTTATGATTTATTGATTAAGGTCCTATTTACGGAGAATTCGGTATAATTTTTATTTTATTTTATTTGATGTTTTTATTTACGAAGGTTTAGGAGTTGAGAGTGAAATACATCTCTATTTTTGTATTCTAGGATGATGAGATGGAAGACATATTGGATCTTATAAATTCTGCCATTTTAGACAAAGATGTGAAGGGTGGCTTAAGATGGCCTCTGGGAAAAGCATCCTCTGGGGATAGATTCAAAGTGGTTGGAGCTTGGCACACTGTTTCCCAGTCTTATGTCAATCCATTTGTGCGAATCAAGCTAAGAAATGCCGATCGATACGATTTCAAGACATTGGTTGGTGAAGTGTCAAAAGAGGTTACTTTTAAGATGAAACGACTTACGTCCGAACTACTGGTAGGTGCAACCTCCTTACTTAAATATCTTTTTGACTCTACGACATGATTATGGTCTTTGCTCTAAGAACGTTGCATGTTTTTAGTCGTTAGATCATCGAACTTGAGTTACCCATTTTGCATTTTTGAATTACATGTGCATTATAGCTACGTTTAGAACTAAGAACGTTACATGTTTTCGGTCGATGAATCATCGAACTTGTGTGTTACTCATTTTGTATTTTTGAGTTACATGTGCATTATAGCTACCTTTTGAACTAAGAACATTACATGTTTACGGTCCATAAATCATCAAACTCGTGTTACTCATTTTGTATTTTTGAGTTCCATGTGCATTATGGCTACTTTTTGAACTAGAACGTTTCATGTTTTCGGTCGATAAATCATCAAACTTGTGTTACTCATTTTGTATTTTTGAGTTACATGTGCATTATAGCTGCCTTTTGAACTAAGAACGTTGCATATTTTTGGTCGATAAATCATCGAACTCGTGTTACCCATTTTGCATTTTTGAGTTACACGTGCATTATAGCTACCTTTTGAACACCATTTCCTTCAAGCTTTCTATATTTCTACAATGATATGATATCATTCAACTTTGGATCGTTTTAGCTGACAAGGATACTCATTCATTGTGTTTAATCAACGTGGGATTACGTTACTATTTTGATTATTTCGTTCGATCTTTCTGTTTCTTTGTAGAGAGAAAAGCCTGAGGTTGATGTGATCCCTGATATGCTTAATGACAATCTGAAGCTATTTTGGAATAACTTTGTATGCTCTGCAACCTGTTCATCCCCTTAAGGCCAGGCTTTCAAATGGTTAATGCTGCATTTTTCTGTCTTTTTTAAGTGTTTATGTTAGAAATGGATAGCCCTTTTTTGGGTAAGAACTATGCTTTATGAGCTTTACAGTGATTTAAGTAGAAATATCCACAAATTGTCATATAAAAATCAAGTTCGATTGTGAGTGACTCAATTTAGAACAATGTTTCCAAATCCTGCTTCTAGATCTTCGATCCTAAGAGTAATCTAATTCTAGCCTCATCTCTTGATTGATCATAATTTTGTATGTTAATAAGGGTTCTTGGTTCATTGCACTGAGAATTAGGGTTGACTAATCATAGACGCTCGTATTCAAAGTTCATAACTCATTTAGGATTACAATCAGGTTGGATATAATTATCTTGTGAAATATTAATCACAAAGCAGAGTTCACTACGCACTCTTAATCATATTTCTCGATCACGATTCTCTCATATATTATCTGCATACTGTTCAATACTACACGAATTACGAGACTTTAGAATATAACTCTCAACAAACCTCTCTTTATAGGTTCGTTAATCGACAATATTAATATTTCAGATGATAATCGTATTGAAAATAAAAAATTTGTGTATAAGAAGACGTTACCAAATATATTAGTATTTTAACTTCAAACCATTTATATATATATATAAACATTTTTCGTAACCATCTAAACCGACCCAAAATTTGAAAATTATTCATAAACATAGATATTTGCAAAATGTTTGGTCTCTAAAATTATTCGTGTGTCACCCACAATTCCATTGCATAAATAACACAAAAATAGAGTTAACAAGAAACAAGAACATTGCAATACATGTGTTGCATTATAACTTAAATTAAAAAACTAACTAAAATTATTGTTTTGAAGTCCTTCAATTTTGCATTATTTATGCAACCTCGTAACGATTCAAAGTTCCGTATGCAAAGCATAATGCAGAATCCGAGTTCGACATTTGGTGACCCTGCCATTTATGTATTACCGTTGGTTTTTACCATATTAATCTCCTGATTCTCGATTGTTGGGACATTTTGGTAATTTCTTTCGTATTTTTTGTCACCTTCCTCGAGATTCACTTCTTTTCCTCTAAAGCTATTTACCTTTTTATCCCTATATATCATGTAGATTATCATTTGGATCATTCCTAGAAGAAACCCCACAATGTTTGGCAGCTGAGAAATTGATAAAAGAAAAAAAATTACCACATTTACCATAATAAGGGTAAAATTGTAATTACATATAATAAAAACCGTAATGCGTAAATGAATTATTATAGTTAATGTCGATGAATCCGTTTAGAGATATGATTATAATTAATCAAAATTCATTCACAAATATAAAAGAAGATTTGAATCTTTGACCTTACTGCCAAACTGTCAAACTTTTAATAAAATTTTTATAATACTCTTATATTTTTAATAAAATTAAAATATTTTAATAATATCTTTAAATTTTTAATAAAATTAATTTTTTTTTTCATAATACTCTTAAACTTTCTATAAAATTATTAAAAAAATACCCTTACAATATTAAATTAAAAATTTTAAAATAATACCCTTAAAACTTTTAATAAAATTAAAAAAATATCCTTATTAAAATTATTTTATTTTAAATAATACCCTTAAACTTTTAATAAAATTAAAAAAAATTATATTTATTATTAAAATTAATTCTTTTTAAATAATATCTTTAAAATTTCAATAAAATAAAAAATACCCATGCTCGAACTTTTAAGATATCAATTAATACCCTTTTAATTTTTTGTTATAAAATTTATAATAAATACCATTATAATTAGTGCCACATTTGAAAAATACTCTTGAACTATTAAAAATAGCATTAGCACCTTTAATATGTATAAAAACGTTATCACCGTCAGTATATAGACAAAGACCGTTTGTCTGCACCTCATATATCATATTTCTCTTCAATTTGAAATAAACCAATAGTAAATTTTTTTTTTTTTTACGTGCTAATTTGATATTAATGTTACCTTTTGAAAGTGCATGGTTATTTATGAAACGTGATACTAACGGTTATGTCTAAATACTAAACATAAGAATATTTTGAAAGCTCTCGAGTATTTTTGAAACCCTTTTAAAAGATTAAAGGTATTTTTAAAACAAAGTATCGAGAAAAAAAATGAAAATAAGAGTAGGTTTTGACTTACAGCAATGAAGGGATCCTTCATAAAGAAGCCATAGAAGAACCACATGACGGCTGAAAGTGTAAGAAAAAACGACAAAGAAAATGACATAAACTCCACACTTTTGGTTGTTATCACCCTCTTCTGCAAATATTTAAACTCAAAATTATCAATATTTATAAAATATAATTCTATTTTAAACCTAATTTATCCGCTAAATGCATATATTTTCGAATAATATCCTTACCGTTAATTTTTTAGATGTTTAAAAAATTCGCCTAAAAATTTACAAGGTAATATTATTAACCCTTCAACTTTTTATAAACAAAAGTTAAAAAAAAACAATTATTATAGTCAAGATATTAACGTGTATATATATATATATATATAAGAATATTTTAATTTTTTTTTTGAAAATTTAAGAATATTGCCCAAACCTTTGAAAAATAAAAAAATATTTTGTAGATAAAAGTAGAAATTTAGCAAAAAAAAAAAAAAAAAAAAAAAA